AGGAGACAACACAAATTTGGTCGAGACAATTTCACTACAACACAAGTGATCCAACCTTCGCACAATGTTTGGCGTTCACGTAAACCTAGAAGGTTCATTCGGCGCTTTAGTGATAATCCGTGCAACACAGATGTGTATAAGAGACAGGTACTAAAGCCAAATAAAGGATAATTCATTTCTTGCCATCAAAGGATCAAACTTTTCCAAACCCCCGTTTTGTTTGGGGTTGAGATCGATACATTGAAGAAAGAATAGGCCTATGTATGCGGCGACTCAATCTTTGTCATGTACTGTACAGTATATATACACACATAATAGGGCTACTAGTATTTAATGTAATAAGAATGAGATAGCTTACCTGACCGTTTTCAAGAAAAAAGGGGGAAAACCTAAACATTTGAAGAACTTAAAAATCATTAAAAGACACCTCAGATGTCGGGAAAGCTCATTTCCTGCCATCTAGTGATCAAAATTTTCCTCGGGAGAACCTGGATCCCCCCTTTTTTTTAAGTTAAAAGATTCATGAAATCGTTTTCAAGAGGGGAAAACCTTGAATTTTGAATTTTTCCCCCTCGGGTGATACCCCAGAACCCCTACATTAATTTATGGATTCATGAAAAAAAAGAATACGTATGTATGGAACCTACTAAATTTTTTATGTATTTATGGACACACACATAAACAGGCCTATTTACTATAATAAGAATAAGAAAGTTTACCTGACTATTTTCAAGATGGGGAAAACCTTGAATTTGAGGAACTTAAAAGTGACTATGAAAGACACCTCAGAAGTCTGGAAAGCCCATTTTCCACCATCTAATAATTAAAATTCTCCCGGGGGAGGACCCCCGATCCCCCTCCCTCTTTGGGGTTTATCCATTCATGGAAAAAAAAATACGTTAGCTACTCATTTAAAAAAAAATGTAATACACATTAAAAATAGGTCTATTTACTGTAATAAGAATGAGAAAGTTTACCTAACCGTTTGCAAGAGGGGAAAACCTTGAATTTTGAATAACTTAAAAGTCATTAAAAGACACTTCAGAAGTCAGGAAAGCTCATTTCCCGCCATCTAGGAATCAAAATTTTCAAGCGAAGCCCGCCCGGACCCCCTTCCATTTCATGGTTTTTATAGACAAAAGTCTGACCCCTCCCCGCAAAAGTGAACCCAGATCCGCCTCTGTTAATACAAGTTGACGGATGTTGGGAAATACCTAAAAAAATATTCTGGATTTAAGAACACTTTATTGTCCATTTTAAAATGGGAATTTGTTTTTCCTTTGTTATGTTTTGGTTAAGAAGGATAACAAATCACACGACAAAACAACTTGGCAATGACGACAAATACGTTAAGATATTGAACAATTTAAAATATTAGTAAGTCAAAATAAAAATTACTGTTTAAACTGTTTAAAATGCCCTTTAAATACAAAGGAAGGGGAGAAGGACTTGTACCGACTTGCAAAACAAAGGGACCGTGCTGGAAAGGATGTGCAACAAGTACGGACTATTAGGAATGTAAATGGAAATGTGTTGACAGACCAGTTGAGTGTACTGAAAAGATGGAAGGAATACTTTGAAAGGTTGATGAATGAGGAAAACGAAAGGGAGCAACGGGTGGAAGAGGTAGATGAAGTAGATCAAGATATACCACAAATTAGCAAGTATGAAGTGAGAGAAGCTTTGAAGAAGATGAAAAATGGAAAGGCTGTTGGTCCTGATGATATACCGGTAAAGACATGGAAGTGTTTGGGAGAGTTTGCGGTAAAGCTTCTGGCAAATCTGTTTAATAAAATCTTGATA